GGGGGGGGGGGATGGTCCTGGTGGGTTTTAGGCTGTCCCAGCTGATTTTGGGGGTTCACCAAACAGGTTTTGGGGTGACCGGGGGGGAATTTTATGGCCATGAGGGGGTTCCCCGATATTGGGGGGGGTCCCCGATATTGGGGGGGGGTCCCACAGTTGTACCCCCCCCTCATTTTGTGCCCCCTCCCCCCCAGGGATGAGCGATGTCCTGCCCAACCAGCGGCCCTACGTGCCCCGGGTGGGGCAGGTGAGGGGGCTGGGGGGATTTTGGGGATTTTTGGGGATTTTTGGGGTCTTTAGGGGATTTTTGGGGTCTCTGGGGGGGATTTTGGGGGTCTTCAGGGGCATTTTGGGGGATTTTTTGGTGGGTCTTTCAGGGGTTTTGGGGGCTGTGATTGGGGTTTCTAGGAGGATTTTTGGGGTCTGGGGGGTTTTGGGATTTTTTTGGGAATCCCTGGGATTTCTATGGGATATTTTTGGGATCTCTGTGGGATTTTTAGGATTTCTATGGGGTTATTTATTGGGATCTCTGGGATTTTTTAGGATTTTTTTGGGAGATCTCTGTGGGATTTTTTTTTTTGGGATCTCTGGGATTTTGGGGATCTCTGTGGCATTTTTTGGGGACCTCTCTGGGATTCTGGGGCTCTCTGTGGGATTTTTATGGGATTCTTTTTGGGGGCCCCTGTGGGACTTTTGGGATCTCTGGGATTATTTTTTGGGATCTAAGTGGGATTTCTATGGGATTCTTTTTGGGGGTCCCTGTGGGACTTTTGGGATCTCCGGAATTTTTTTGGGGCTCTCTTTGGGATTTCTATGGGATTCTTTTTGGGGCTCTCTGTGGGATTTCTATGGGATTCTTTTTGGGGGTCTCTGTGAGACTTTTGGGATTTCTATGGGATTGTTTTTTGGGCTCTCTGTGGGATTTCTATGGGATTCTTTTTGGGGATTTCTCTGGGATTTTGGGGATCTGTGTGGGGATTTTTTGGGACATTTCTATGGGGTTTTTGGGGTCCCTGCTCCCCCTGACCCCGTTCCCCCCCCCAGCACATCACGGTGGTCGTGGGGCGCCCGTTCAGCGCCCGGCCCCTCCTGGAGCGGCTGCGCAGCGAGGGGACCCCCACGGTGGGTGAGACCCCCACATTTGGGTGTGGGACCCCCAAGTGGGTGTGGGACCCCCACGGTGGGTGAGACCCCCACATTTGGGTGTGGGACCCCCAAGTGGGTGTGGGACCCCCACGGTGGGTGAGACCCCCACGGTGGGTGAGACCCCCACATTTGGGTGTGGGACCCCCAAATGGGTGTGGGACCCCCATGGTGGGTGAGACCCCCACATTTGGGTGTGGCACCCCCAAGTGGGTGTGGGGAGGGACCCCCATGGTGGGTGAGACCCCCACATTTGGGTGTGGGACCCCCAAATGGATGTGGGGAGGGACCCCCACGGTGGGTGAGACCCCCACATTTGGGTGTGGGACCCCCAAATGGATGTGGGACCCCCATGGTGGGTGAGACCCCCACATTTGGGTGTGGGACCCCCACATTTGGGGGGTTCTGACCCCGAGATTTGGGGTTTGCCCCATGGATTTGGGCGTGGTTGACCCATAGATTTGGGGGGGGTTCTCAGCGCGAAATCCCAGCCCCACAGATCCCAGCCCCATAGATTCCCACAGATCCCAAAATCCCGGCCCCATAAATCCCTGGATCCCAGCCCCACAGATCCCAAAATCCCGGCCCCATAAATCCCTGGATCCCAGCCCCACAGATCCCAAAATCCCAGCCCCATAAACGCCTGGATCCCAGCCCCACAGATCCCAAAATCCCGGCCCCATAAATCCCTGGATCCCAGCCCCACAGATCCCTCGATTCCAGCCCCACAGATCCCAAAATCCCAGCCCCATAAATCCCTGGATCCCAGCCCCACAGATCCCTAGATTCCAGCCCCACAGATCCCAAAATCCCAGCCCCATAAACGCCTGGATCCCAGCCCCACAGATCTCTGGATCCCAGCCCCACAGACACCAAAATCCCAGCTCCATAAATCCCTGGATCCCAGCCCCACAGATCCCAACCCCATAAATCCTTAGATCCCAGCCCCATAAGTCCCTGGATCCCAGCCCCACAGATCTCTGGATCTCAGCCCCACAGATCCCTAGATGTCAGCCCCATAAATCCCTCAATCCCAGCCCCACAGATCCCCAGATCCCATCCCCATAAATCCCTGGATCCCAGCCCCACAGAAGATCCCAACCCCATAAATCCCTAGATCCCAGCCCCACAGACCCCTAGATCTCAGCCCCACAGATCTCTGGATCCCAGCCCCACAGACCCCAACCCCATAAATCCTTAGATCCCAGCCCCATAAATCCCTGGATCTCAGCCCCACAGATCCCAACCCCATAAATCCTTAGATCCCAGCCCCACAGATCCCAGCCCCACAGATCCCCGCCCTGCCCCACAGCTCGGTGGCTCTGCCCCACAGGTGGAGCTCCGCAAGGCCCTGACCGATTTTGTCCAGAGGGAATTCGAGGCGCTGCGGGGCCACGCCCGGACCCTGCACCCCACCCCACAGCGGGGTCCCCCTGCCCCACAGCCGGGGGGTTCTGCCCCATAGCTGACGGTTCTGACCCACAACTGGGGGGTTCTGCCCCATAACTTGGGGTTCTGCCTCACAACTTGGGGTTCTGCCTCACAACCTGGGGTTCTGCCCCATAACTTGGGGTTCTGCCCCACAACTGGGTGGTTCTGCCCCATAACTGACGGTTCTGCCCCATAACTGACGGTTCTGCCCCATAACTTGGGGTTCTGCCTCACAACTTGGGGTTCTGCCCCATAACCTGGGGTTCTGCCCCATAACTTGGGGTTCTGCCTCACAACTTGGGGTTCTGCCCCATAACTTGGGGTTCTGCCCCATAACTTGGGGTTCTGCCCCACAACTGGGTGGTTCTGCCCCATAACTGACGGTTCTGCCTCACAACTTGGGGTTCTGCCCCATAACTTGGGGTTCTGCCCCATAACTTGGGGTTCTGCCTCACAACTTGGGGTTCTGCCCCATAANGGGTTCTGCCCCATAACTTGGGGTTCTGCCCCATAACTTGGGGTTCTGCCTCACAACTTGGGGTTCTGCCCCATAACTTGGGGTTCTGCCCCATAGCAAAGCCCTCCTGCCCCATAGGGGGGGGTTTTACACCATAACTGGGGGTCTTGCCCCATAATTGGGGGTCCTGCCCCATAGCAGGGGGTCCCTGGTGGAGTCTCTGCCCTATAGAGGGGGTCCTGCCCCCCCCGAGCCCCCCAACTGTGCACGGTGCCAATAAAAGAAGGTGGAACCTCGGGGGTCTCTGGGAGATTTTGGGGGTCCCGGAGGAGATTTTGGGGTCCCAGGGAGAATTTGGGAGGTGCCAGGATGGAATTTGGGGTTTTAGGGGGGAAATTTGGGGGGTCCCGGGAGCGAATTTTGGACCCCGAAACCAACCAAGACCCAACCCGAGGTGATTTTATTGAAGCAGAAAAAAGGGGAGGGGTCCCCACTGCCCCCCAAAACCCCCCTGGGAAGGGGGGCAGGAAAAAGGGGGGTTCAGCCCCCCAAAATGAGGCCTGAACCCCCCACCAAATGAGATTTGGACCCCAAAAAAAGCTGGGACGGTCCCAAAAATGGTGCCAGAACACCCCCAAAATTGGTGCTGGGGGCGTGGCCTGGTCCCGGGGGCGGGGCTTGGTCAGATTTGGGGGCGTGGCCTGGGCTCGGGGGCGGGGTTTGTAACCGTGTGGGCGTGGCTTGCAGCCGGTGGGGGCGTGGCCTGCCGTGGCCACGCCCCTCACTCCTTCTTGTCGCGGGGTCCGTCGTGGGCGGCCTGGGGGGGCAAAGGGGGGCTTG